AGAATATTGAATATACTATGGACTGTGAGGAGAAGGAACAAATCTGTCATAGAAGAACTATAACTAGAACTGTCCTTAAAAGTGAGGATGGTGAAGTGTCACGCGGCTCACTGTGGGCATGTCCTCAGGAAAGAACCACCGCTAGAACAGGACATGTTGTTGTTGTTGTTATTTACCATCGAGTCGGCCTCGACTCCTGGCGACCCCTCCTTGGGTTTCTGAGGCAGTAGAGGGGCAGCAAGAATGAGGGGAAGCCTCCACGAGCCGGATGGGCACAATGGCCTTCACACCATGCTCCAACAGTCCAAGGGTTGTGAAGATTGCAATGTTTCCTTGTGTGGTGCATAAGTTGGAGCCCACTCAGTGGCAACTAACAGCAGTCTCCGGAGGCCCTCCCATCTGTCTAAGAAAGGAAAGACCTGCAGGGGAAGGAGGTGGGTGCTGGGCCATGCCCAGGCGGTTCCCAGCCTGGCTCCACTCAAGGAGACAGAAGGTCCTCAGGTAATGAACCTGGTGACATAGGTCTTCGGGAACCGGCCTTGTCCCAGGCTTCAGGGTCTGTGTCCATTACTACATCTGCAATGCTTTGGCAACTTCCAAGACAATGTGTTAGTCTAGGCTGGTGCTTCAGGAGAGTTGAATCAGTCCCTCCTTCAAACCAAGCAGGAAAGGCTCCTGCCTCAGGCTCCAGGCTTCAGAGTGTCCTGCCCTGCTGTCTTCTGTTAAGTCCTCCCATGGGATAAGAGTCTGGAGCCAGGATCTCTTTGGACGAACCTCAGAGCTTCCTGTCATCAGTACTGGGCAAGAAGTGTGGAAGGTGGAAGGTGGGGACAGAACACACTTGGACAGGTCTGGGCCCTGAAAGTGCCACGGGAGCCAACCCTGCAGCGCCCAAGCAGGAAACACCCCCTCCACGACCTCCTGCAAGATGGTGAGGGTGGCCATCAGCTAGGAAGTGCCACCCATGCATTTCCGACCCTGTCCTAGCTTCTGCATGATGCCCTCCCTCAGTGTCGAGGCCCTGCTTCTTTGAAGTCAGGCCTGTGTTCCCATGTTCGTGCCACCCCCCACTCCGCCTGACCCCCACTGAACTTTAGTTTGTGGAATTGTGTCCCACCAAACTCGTGTTGAGGTCCTAACCCTGCATCTGTGGATGCGGTCCCCTTTGGGAACAGCACCTTCTTTGCCATTATCAGGAGGTCACAGCAGTATGACCAATTATCTGTGACTGTAAAAAAGCCGATTAGGTGTAGAGCGGGAACAAGAGGGCAAGATCCACACCTCAGGGAGATGCCAAGGAACCCAGGACCAGAAGCTGCAAAGAGACAAGGACTGCCCCCCAGAGGCAACAGAGAGAAAGCGTTCCCCTGGAGCTGGCGCCCTGGAGTCGGCCTTCTAGGCTCCTAAACTGTGAGAAAATGAAGTTCTGTTTGTCAAAACTACCCGCTGGTGGGATTTCTGTTACAGCAGCACTAGAGAAACCTAGACAATTGGCAAGTCACTGATTCTTTGTGTCAAATACTCATCTGCAAATGCTGCCCCATTTCCACCAACACCTTAATTTCCAGTTACTGAGCCATGTTTGCTGCTCACCCTTTGCCCAGCCTAGTGATTTTCCTGATGCAAGAGCACCGGGCATCATATGTAGCCTCCCTTCAGGCGGTTCATATCTCTCTTCAGCTGCCATCCACAGTGACCTGGCTGAGGAACATTGGTCTATAGCGAGAGGTGAGAGCTAGATGTGGGATGAATAGAGCCCATGGGGTAGAGACCAGTGTGGTAGAAACAGTAGGTCTGTGTAGGGATTGCTGGGAATTAAGGCTGCAAAGGAAGGTCAGGGCCAGAGGAAAGAGGCCCTTCATAGCCAAGCTAAAGCTTCCAAGAGAGACAGCTCTTCCTGCTCACCAATCTTCCCATACTAGAGGAAGACTTCCAGTCCTGGAGAGCTGAAATTTAGTCAGCGGTGCTTGCCAAATTAAGATACTTGCTGTTGGGAATGGGTAAACCCAGTGTGATGTATCCATACGATGCAATTTTGCAATGAGGAGTACTGACACATGACACAATACGGACGAACCTTGAATATAAGTGAAAGAAGCCAGCCAGTAAAGATCCCGTTTTATGATGGCACAGGTAGTCCCCGATTTACGACGTATTTGGGTTACCACAAACTACACTTATTGCCCTCTGTTTTGTTCTTTTTTTTGTACATCTTATTGTTTGTAATACATACGACATACAGCGTTGCAATGTCTGACTTGCTGATGTCATTCTCAGATGTTCACTCGAAGATGTTCAGTTTTGTGATTTGCTGTTCAAAACACTGCTGTATGTGTACAAGTTTAGTTTTCTAAACTGAATCAGAGGCTTCAGTTGCTTGAAAATATGGAGGTCAACGCTGGTCACTTTGCTGAAGTAGACAAGCAGATTGACAGGCAGATCTGAGTAAAAGTGAGATGTTACCATGAAATGTATAAAGAAAAAAGAAAAGGACCATTAAGACAACTTGCATTAAGACAACTGTTTCGGACTAGAAACAGCATCCTCATTCCCAGGGATAATTCAGATGATCCAGAACCTTCCACAAGTGGAATTATTACTCCAACTGGCAGAATCCCAAAGTCCAACTCCTTCTTCATCATTGGAGTAAATTTTTATGATTTGTCTATTTTTTAAATGTATGTAAGTATTAAAGTATATCTGTAATTCTATACGTAATGTTTCCAACCCCCAAAGACAAATAAAGATGGATTTATAAAGATACCTATATTGGGTGCCATCAAGTCGGCTCTAACTCATAGCCACCCCTGTGTACAGCAGAATGAAACACTGCCCAGTCATGTGAGCCATCCTCACGATCCTTGTCATAGCTGAGCCAATCATTGCAGCCACTGTGTCAATCCATCTCATTGAGGGTCTTTCCCTTTTTTCACTGACCCTCCACTTTACAAAGCATGATACTTTTCTCCGAAAAGACAAATTTTTCTCTGAAAAGACGAAGACAAATAAAGATCAGATTTATAAAGATACTGATAATAAAAGGCAATAATAAAAACTAAAAAAAAGGGGGGGGGGTACAAAAACAACCCTGAGTATCTGACTGACATCAGAACCAATTTATAATGGAATTGTCGGAATGGAACACTCCATTATAAGTCGAGGACTACCTGTAATCAAGCAGAATGGTCAAATCCATAGAGACAGAAAGCAGATAGTGGTTGGTGGTAGGGCTGGGGAAGGGGGAGTAGAGGTGACTGCTGAGTGGGTGTCAGGGTTCTTCTTGGAGTGATAGGAATGTTCTAAAATTCGGTAGTGACGATAAGGGCACTGCCTTGTTAGTATACTGAGAACCACTGAACTGTATGCTTTCAATGGGTGAATTTTATGGTATGTGAGTTATGTCTCAATAAACCTATTATAAAAAAGATTTTTAAAGATATATTGTTGGTTCGATTTTATTTTCTCAGAATTGTACACAAATGTGATACTGTTCGATCCATACTGGTGTTCTTCAAATAAGTTAAGAGGTTCAAAGACAGGAACTGCAGCTTTGAGTTTCAGAGCACTGCGCCACCCCCCCTCCCGGCATCTTATTTACTGGCTGATGGTTTCCATTAGGTCTACCAAGGACCGTGTCCCACTTGATTCGAAGTAGCCCAGCCAGAGGAAACCCATGGCCAACGCTGTAGCCATGTGGGGTCAGAGAAGTCTAATGTGCCGGTTAAGAAATCACAGTCCCTGGAGTGCGGGCCAAACTCCCTGCTAAGGGTTCCCTTGTGTCTTAGTCCTGCTGTGATAGAAATACCACAAGGGGGTGGTTTTAACAATCAGGAATTTGTTTCTCACAGTTTAGGAGGCTGGAAGTCCAAATTCAGGGTGTCGGCTCTGGGGGAAGCCTTTTTCTCTCTGTTGGCTCCAGGGAGCAGTCCTTGTCACTTTTCAGCTTCTGATTCTTGGGTCCTTGGCGGTCTCACGTGGCCTGGCTTCTATCTTTCCCACCTCTGCTTGCATCCTTACTTAATCTGCTCTTTGTTATCTCAAAGAGACGACATAGACATGCCCTACCCTGATAGGGCCTTATTAACATAGCAAAGAAAACCCATTCCCAAATGGGATTAAGCCACAGGGATGCGGTTACTCTTAGCGACCCGACAGAAAGAGACCCTATGCTCAACAGAAGGAAATACTGCCCAGTCCTGCCCCATTCTCACAGGTGTTGCCAGACTTGAATGCATCTTTGAAGCCATTGTGTCCATCCATGTCATTGAAGGTCTTCCCCTTATTTTTTTGCTTACCCTCCACTTTACCAACCATGGTATCCTTCTCCAGGGATGGGTTCCTTCTAACAACATGACCAGAGTACAAGAGACAAAGTGTAGAGGGTCCGGATTTCCAGCACACACTTTGAGGGGGAGACACGATTCAAGCCCCAAGAGTCTGCTTTATTTCCTGTAGTCCTTCCAGCTGCTCGTGCAGTAGGTGCCCTTAGGCTCATTTCAAAGACGCGTAGACTGAGGCAGAGGAGATGACGTACCCGGCCTGTAGTCGATACTCCCAGCTTCACACCTGGCTCTGCTCCCAAGCTCAGCCTCTGCTCGCTGTGTGTTGGTTGAGGTCCGGGACCTCTAAGACACCAACTTGTAAATTTACTGCTCACTATGGAAGAAAGTCTCATGGACCGGTTGGTTGGTGACACTGCTGTGCACACCACGAGGGTCAGCGGGACATTTCCCCTTTACAGGTGGCTTGGGATCTTGTTTGTTTTGTATGTCTTTCTAATGCATGAAGTCAAGGGGAGAATAGCATGTACATTTATGTTAGAATCAACCTTTCTATTTTAACCATGTCAGGGGCTGTAAAAGATTAGCTTCCTGTTAAGGCAGATAGTTAAAAATCATAGTCATGTGCTCACAAACACATGAGTGTGTGTGTATACGCAAATATACATATATTCAATTAGGAGAACATTTACTGAGTCACTGTTTGTTTGTTTTTTGCAGAACAACGGTTCCCTGGTTTGGTGCCAGAATCACAAGCAGTGTTCTAAGGTATGTTTCCTCCATCTATATTAATTTTTCAGAGAATGTTTTTGCTTTGAAACATTGTAGAGTCGCGGGAAGTTGTGAAGATGGTGCAGAGGGGTCCCCTGTGCCTTTTACCCATCGTCCACCACTGGCTCCATTTTACAGAATAACAGTACCGTGTCGAAACCCAAAGGTTGTCATTAAGGGGAACAATGTGTGTATGTGGTCCTGTGCCTTTTTATTCTGTGTGTAGATTTGTGTAACCATGCCCCCATGTTTCTATACACTGCCCATTTTTCTCTTTGTTCGGTACTTGGAGATCATTTTTTTTGATGGGAAAACTGTCTTTTGTTTGGGCCAGAAGATGGATGGCATTCTACTTACATCTAATTTATTTTGTAGACTTGGCTTGTTTGGGGGAGTTGCTGGTAAATAATTTGGTTTTCTAATTAAATAATTGAGGGCCCTGATGATGCAACAGTAAAGCAGTTGGCTTCTAACGGAAGGATCAGCCATTCGAACCCAGCAGTCGCTGTGCAGGCGAAAAACCCTGGTGATCTGCTCTGGTGAAAACGACACCCTGAGAAACCCTAGGGGGCAGTTCTTCTTTTTCACGTGGGGCAGCTATGAGTTGGAATCAATTCAACAGTACACAACAGCGACAACAGTGGTTAAATAGTTTGCGTTTTATTTTCGAATATTCCTTCTTGCGAAATCTTCTTCTAAACATTGTCATTTCACTTATTTACATGATATATATGAGATAGTAGTTTAGCTCTAGTTTGGAAATGGTTTTCATACTCAGATTACAGAAATTAATAACATTTGCCAAGCTTGATAAAATATCGACACGACTTTTGGTATTGTTTGTGGTGTTCAATGACATTTATTTCACAGACATTTCTGATAGGCTTCAAAGTACAACATCTCTTCATTTTATAACCAAAATGTTATCTCAGGAATTTGTAATAGTGTTGAAATTGGACATTTATGAAGAGCGTCATTATTTTGAAAGGTCTTTCAAGCACATTATCTCAAAATAAATGACAGTAGAATAATATTCCTAAGGAGCAAACCCCATTAGAGTGACGCATTATCCCTGCAATCATGCCTGCATGTCATCTCGTACACATGGATGTCATTAAAAATAGAGCAGAATTCTTCTGTGAATTTAAAAGGATTGGGGGGAGGCCAGCTTTGCTTACCTCTAGATCTAGGGCAGAAATGAAATGTCTGCTTGACTCTGCTTTATTCGGATTTTTTTACGTAATACCATCAGCATTTGTGCTGATAAGGCACTTACTGGTATTTATTATATTAATGGTTTTCTCAAATGGAGTCTTGGCTGCCTATTTATGAAATCATGGCAGGCAAAGTACTCTGATTTATATATAAAAAAACAATGCCATGAGGCCATCAGAATTTTGTAAGTAGTACCTTTGACCAGTTGCATATTACTTGGGTATGGCATGGTTATCAGTGCAATGGTTTCATGCTCAGCTGCTAACTGAAAGGTCGAATCCACCCAAAGGCAACTTGGAAGGAAGACCTGGGCATGGGCTTCTCCAAGGTCAGCTCTGACAACCCTGTTGGGCTCAGGTCTACTCTGATGCACAAGGCTCACCAGGAGTCAGAATCACCTCCACTGCAACTGAGTTTTGCTTTTTTTTTTTTTACTTTTCTCATCGAGTAACATTCTTTTTACAGACTCCAAAGCAATGTGAACAGAAGAGGCTCGTTTGAACTTTTTTTTTTTTTTTTAAACATCCTAATGAAAGCAAATCCCACCTCTAGGGATTCCAGATTCCTAAATCATATTTGGTAATTGAATGATCAAGGTTGACATGAGAGACGCTGAATTGCATAAGAAAATAAATCAATTCCTTCTACCTGGAAGCAAGAAGGAATCAATAAATCACACCTCACTCCAAACACCCCTTGGGATATGTTAATAAACCGACATAATTGTAAGGGTTGTCGTTAGTCTGACCTCTTGAGAGTGAATTCTCCATATTAATCAATCTGTATCTCCTTTGAGTATTGTTACAACTGGATAGGTTGAGATAATCAGTTTGCATTTCTTTTGAACTTCATGAGGCGCTTTGTAGGCTTTCCCTTTTAATCTTGAGATTAACAGGGTTATTGGTAAGAGATACTAACTATTTTAAGATGGAGAGACTTAGACGCATGCATATTCAATCCATCACTCTCTGTCAGTCTGTCACACTGTGTGGCTTGAGTGTTGCTGCGATGCTGGAAGTTAGGCCATCAGTATTTCAAAGATCAGTGGGGTCATCCACGGTGGACAGCTTTCAGCAGAGCTTTCAGACTAAGACAGACTAGGAAGAAAGACCTGCCAAGCTACTTCAGAAGATTAGCCAATGGAAACTGGGGATCACAGTAGAGCATTGTCTGATTCGCTTGCTTTGGGCATGTCATCCGGTGGGATCATTTGCTGGAGGAAGGCATTGTGTTTGGTGAAGTAGAGGCCAGCGAGGACACCTTGGTGGATGGATTGGCACAGTAGCTGCAGCGATGGAATGGAACATGCCAGCTGTCATGAGGATGATGCAGGACCAGGCGGTGTTTTGTTCTGTTGTACATGAGGTCACCACAATTCCAAGTTGACTCGATGACTGCTAACACCACGACCACGACATCTGATAGTAGTTCTGGAATCATTAGCAAAGCTGTCAAGGAGTACTATAGTTTGCTTCACTCTCCCCTAGGTTGCCTTGCATTGTGATCAACAGCTTTAAAAACCTTTGGAACAAATAATTGGGACAGAAAAGTAAAGATACTCAGGAATGATGCCACTGATAGCATTTTCTGACAATGCGTTTTAAAAGAGAAGGTTTACGTATGTTTTTTGGAAACCACAGCCTTCTTCCTTATTTCTAGAGCCATCTGCTAAGTTGTCAGCTCCACTGTCAGACTGCTTCTTCCCATATCACTGCCTCTCCCTTGTCCAACCTGCCATCATATCTTGTCTGGACCAATTCAGGAGCATCCTGATGGGACTCCCAGCTTCTGCTCTTGCCCTAAACAATCTGATCTTCAAGTGGCTGCTGGAGACCCTTTCAAAGGATATCCAACTCATGCTGCTGTCTACCTTGAACCACAGGATGGCATCCCCCCTCCTTTAGACTAAAACTCAAAGTCCTATCCTCAGTCTCGATGGACCTGTCTTGGCTATACATGCTCTCTCTGTGACCCTACCACCTTCTACTCCTTCAAGGCTGCTGTGCCCACCACCTAGAACGCTCCTTCCCCAGAGAGGCACCTAGCTGACCCCATTCCTCCTTCAGGTCTCAGCCCACATGCTGCCATCTGGGCCCCACCTTGCCAGACTACCCACTCCCCCATTAGCTCACTGTGCACACATATGACCGGGTGTGACACTGTACAAGATTCCCTTTCCGCAGCACCCTCTTACCCTGTAGCTCATATGCACCTTGTTCTTGCTGTTGTTGGTTGCCATCGGGCTGGCTCCAACTAATGGGAAACCTGTGCATAATGGAACATGGCCTTGCTCATCCTACACCACTTTCATGATGACTGCTCATCACACAGTGTTTGTCCTTTTTCAGAGGGACCTTCCCAACCACTTGCTGTAGAGTGGACTCTGACTCATGGCACCCCCATGTGTGTCAGAGTAGAGTAAACTCCACAGGGTTTCCAGTGCCTCACTTTTCAGAAGTAGATCTCCCTCTTTCTTCCGAGGTGCCTCTGGAAGGGTTGAAGCTCCAGCCTTTCTGTTAACAGCCTAGAGCATTAACCATTTGGACTATCCAAGGACTCCATATGGACCTTAGGAGTAGGGGCAGAGTTAGTGGCTGATGGTGAGGGAACAGAGGTAATACAGGACAATGGGATTACTGTGTGGAGGCAGGATGAAGAGGATACTAAAACTAGAAAGACCACAAATAGTCCAGCACCACTCTTTCATTGAGGATCTCTGGTGGCGCTATAGTTAAAGCATTGGGCTGCTAGCCGAAGGTTGGCGGTTTGAATGCACTAGCTGCTCCATGGGAGAAAGATGAAGCAGTTTGCTTCCACATAGATTTACAGTCTTGGAAACTCTATGGGGTAGTTCTGCTCTGTCTTCTAAAGTCATTGTGAGTTGGAATCGAGTTGATGGCAGTGGGTTTTTACTCTTTAATTGTACAGTTGAGGGATCTAGGGCTCAAATTAATGACAACTTATTTTGGCAGAAGGGCTTATTTTTGGACTTTCTAGTTTTCATTAAGGAGCTCTAGTAGCACAGTGCCTAAGAAAAAGAAGGTTGGTGGTTCAAACCCACCAGCCACTCCGCAGAAGCAAGACTGGGCAATTTACTTCCATAAATATTTACCACCTTGGAAATCCATTGGGGGTTGCTATGAGTCAGAGTCGACTTGATGGCAGTGGTTTTGGTTTTGAGTTTCTGTTGCACATGACGTCCATGTAGACCAGCATAGGGATGATTTCGGAGCATTGGACAAGAGACTTGATTCAATGGTAAGGTAAGGCATTTCGTCACAGGGCAGAAGTCACGATACATTAATGAGCTGTCTCATGATGCTAAGAATTCCTCTTTCTCTTAGTGGCTTCTCTTTTCCAAATAGCATTCCATTAAACCCAGTGTTCTATGCTAGGGGTCAGCAAACGTTTTCTATAGAGGGCCAGGGGTCAGCAAACGATTTCTGTAGAGGGCTGGATAGTACCTGTTTTCAGCTTTGCATCCCATAAAGTCTCTGTGGCAAGTACTCAGCTCCACTGACGTAGTGCGAAAGCAGCCACAAGCAATACATACCTGACTGTGCATGACTGTGTGCCGAAAAAACTTCACTTATGAACACTGAAATTTGAATTTTCATGTTACAGAGTCCACCCCCCAACCATTTACAAATGTAAAAAAACATTCTGAGCCCAGCAGCTGAACAGAAACAGGTTACCAACGAGATGTGGCCACTGCCATAGTGCTCTGAGCTCTCTTCTATGCCCGTTGCATTCATATACGTGAAACCCAACAAAACAATGCA